GAGCCCTGTTCCTTCCATCTCCTGGCAGCCCTTGCTGCTCCCCTGCTGCCCGCTGAGCATCCATCCAGGAAAAGCAAAGCTGTGCAGGGGGGCAGAACTGGCAGTGCTGCTCTGCCTTGAATGCCTTTTGATTTTCCTCCTCTCACAGACCAGACCTGGGCGTCAGAAGGGGCCTGGCTGGAGCCGGAGCTGCTGCTGGCTCAGGCTGCGAGGGAAACGGTGTCTGAGTGGAATTGCATTAAAAACTGGCTTTTAAACAGGAGCCATGCATCTTCCCAGGCAGGGCACGGTGCCAGGGCTCAGCAGAGGAGCTGTCCCTGCCTGCAAGGAGCTGGAGCAGCGTCTCACTCACAGGGCTTGGCTCGGCGGGCGGCAGCGCTGGCAGCCAGGAAGGAATTCAATAAACAGCTCTGTCCTTCTGGAGAGCTCTGAGGCTGGAACAGGAGCCACAGCAGCCAGCACAGGCCGTGGAAAAATGTGTCCCTGACCTTTGATGAGATCATCCTCCCCAGAGAGGTCTGTGCCAACCCCTGGGTGGCTCAGGGGGCAGGGAAATGGCACAGGGGACACACAGCCCTGGGCACGAGTGCCACCTGCTTGGGGGACACTGCAGGTGGGCAGGCACTGCCCAAATGTCTGAGGGCAGCAGAGGGACAAGAGCTGAGCCTCCCCAGGCTGCATCATTTGTCCTTAGAGCCCCTGGCCCCTGCCAGCCAGGGCCATTCTCCTCCTGCGTCAGAGAATCCTGGAATGGGTTGGGGTGGGATCGGCCTTAAATCCCATCCAGTGCTGATGCCTTGGGAAGGCTGGGCAGAGGTAAAGCAGGGATTTATTAAAGGCCTCAATGGATCCACCTTGCGCAGCACAAGAGCCCAGACAGGGCTGCACCCAAGATGAACCCAAATGGTCCCAAAATGCACGAGCGCTCACGGGGTCTCTCCCTGGGATCAGCTCTGCTCCATGTGCACATTGCAGTTCAGTGTCCAATTCCAGCTCAGCCCCTGCACTCCCATCCTGCTTGTTTTTCTCTCTCCAGCCCACGGGGTTTGTGCTCCTGGGCTGAGATTTGGATCATTTGTCCTTGGTCCCCAGCTAGAGCAGGAATTGTTTTGTCTCCCTGCTCTGTGCACAGAGCTCACCATCCCCTCATGTGAACCCAGACCCACACACTAAAGCAGCACAGAACCTGAACAAGAGAAAATCTAAACCTGAGGCATAATTTCCCCCCTGATGCCTCAGTGCCACCCCCTGCCATGGGCAGGGACACCTGCTGCTATCCCAGGTGGCTCCAAGCTCCATCCATCCTGGCCTTGGACACTCCCAGGGATGGGGCAGCCACCTGATACCCACTTTTAGTGGGATTAGAGTTCTCCATAGCAAGGAAATGCCCAGAATCAGTCAGGTGTATCCACAGCAGCTCCCCTGTGCCTCTGCAGATGAGATCTCGTGGTGCAGGTGAAGGGTTTGGTTGTGTCCCCTTGCAGTAGTGAGAGCACAGAGGGAATGACCCAAGGAATGAACTTTCTGCTGTCTGTGTTTCTTCTCTCTTGGTGTCTTGCTGGGATTTTCTATTATCACCGAGTCAGAAGCAGGTTTATGTGCTGGGAGTGTGATTGATTTCCAGCTCGCACCTTGCAGTGGGCTGAAAGCAAACCACGCTGGCTCTTGGCTTTCTTGATATTCTTGAAAGCAAGAAAAAAAAAAAAACAAACCAACAATTGAGTTTGGAACAAAATATCCCAGCAGCTTTCTCCAGCAAAGCTGTGCTGAGGTTTCACTGGGAGCATCCCAGAAGAAAACGAGATTTTGAGCCTTGCCTTTATCAGCAGCTGTGGTTTTACAACTTTTGGGGCTATGCCAATGGACAGGTTGAGATGTGTTCATTCATTTTTTGTTTGATCCCTTAGCAAAGTCCTACAATGCCAATTTAAAACACTTTGGATTGACTCTTGGGCTGGAAGAAGGAAATATCATGTTCTAAAGCTTATAGGCTTATTAACCTCAAAAACTTGCAAGGTTTGATAGGCTCAGCTGTGAGTTTTGTGTTGTTCCATATGATTTTTGGGGGAAAACCAAAGAAAAGCAGCATTGAGGTTCAATACAGCATCCCTCCAACAAGGCAAGCAGGAGGGAAGAGATGATTTTGTTGCTGACACTGCTGCTGATTTATTCTGAGAAAATACAAATTTTATGGATGCTGGAAGGTTTTATTGTGGTTCTTAATGATTCATTTGACCTCTGACATCTGCCAGTGAACCCAGCCTGGGAGCAGAGCCTCTGCAGACAGAGCAGGAGACAGAAATGTCAATTGCCACTTGTTCTGTTCAACCTGATTCCTCCAGACCTGAAGTGGGAATATCTGCAATGGAGCTAAATCTCCATCTGTGCTTCATCATGCAAATCACAGGTGTGTTGTGTTAAACTGCATCCTGAAAAGCTGGGGAAAAAAATAATCCCCGAGGAGGGAGGAGCAAATGGGAGGGTTTGAATGCTCAGGAAATCCCTTTGTTTGTGTCTGAGGGGTGGGCAAAGCCCCTGGGCCCCGTGCTGATGTCTCAGTGACCCCCTGCCTTGGTTCCATCTGCGTCTCCAGGGGAGGTTCAGGTTGGATACTGGGAACATCTCTTCCCAAAAAGGGCTGCCCAGCCCTGGCAGGGGAGGAGTTCCAGTCCTGGAGGGATTTAAAGCCCTGTGGATGTGGCACTTGGGGACGTGGGGCAGTGGTGGCCTTGGCAGTGCTGGGAAATGGTTGGACTCAGTCTCAGAGGGCTTTTCCAACCCAAACTATTCCATGATCCTGCTGTTCTTCAGTTCCAAAGCAGGTTGTGATTTCTCACCTGGTCAAAACCACTCTTTTAGAGGGATGTGGGAAAGGTGAGGATAGGAGGGACTGACCAGGCCCAATGGGAGATGAAACAACTTACAATTTTAAAAAAATTAAGTCAATAATGCACCAAAGTTTACCCTGAGAGTGTCAGGCTGAACCTGGAAACCCTGAGCTTTAATCTCCAGCCTGTTCTGGCCCCTCACCTTCCACAAAAAGTGTTGTGTGAAGGTTAATTTCAGATTAAAATGGAGCTGGACTAAATGCAGACACAATGAGAGCTGAGCTAAGCTGTGCTCAGGCAGAATCCAGCCCAAAGTGATTTTCTGTGCAGTAGGAACACGGCCTAAGCCTCTTATCCTTGGACTTGGAGGTCCTGGACAAGTGGGAATGGGAGGTTCCATTCAAAGAGAGGATTTGCTCTCTGAATAAGGCTGGAAATGCAAATAGTCACCTGTTCTGCTGATGGGTTTATAAAGGTTTAAAGCTGCAGGCTTTAAATGAGGCAAATTTCATCCTCATTTCAGCCCTCATGGGCCTGGAGAATCCTGGAGAGCTTCACCAGCAGCCACGATTCTTTTAAAACCACTTTTTCTTTTTAGAAAGTAATTTCAGAGTCTTGGATTTTGTCAACTACGACGTGATCAGCACCACCATGATGAGGGAGAAATGGTCAACCACAGGCTGAGATCACATCAGGAAATTTTGTTTAAAACTCCTGAAGGTACTTCCATGCCACTGGGTTTCTCCTCACAGCTCTCTGACTCCTGGAATGAAATGCACTTTATCAGGAGACTGAATCACAGCATCATGGAATCATTATGGTTGGAAAAGACCTTCCAGATGATCGAAATGATCCGAAATATTGCAGTGAAATTTGACATCATTTATAGCAGCTCAGTTCTCCCCAAAGACCCACACCAATGTCCCTTCTGGAGCCCTTGTCTGTTGATTTTTCAGTGTAAACTCCAAAGAAAATGCAACATTTGGAGTTTGTGCCTCACTGTGTGCACGTCTGACACTCTGTGGCTGTCAAAAAATGATCCTCAGTGTTTTCTTTTGAACCCTGGAATGGTTAAAGTTGGAAAAGCTCTCGGATCAGCGAGTCCAAACATTAACCCAGCATGTTTTTGTAGATATGGTGCTCATTCTCAGAAAAAATAAATGGAATTTAATGTTTTTCAGCATTCCCTGTGCAGTCCAACATTCCCAGACTTTGTGGGATTCAGCACTTTCACACCACTCTGGATAAATAAACCACAGAATTCCCTAAAATACTGCACCATTAAATTTGTTGCAGCAGCAAATGATGCTTTTAGACATGAAACATTTGCTGTGCTGCTGGAGATTAACAGAGTTTATTAATGAGATTAACAGAATTTATTAATCCTATAGAAGTTTGGATTGGCTAAACTCAGTGTGGGCTGAGATATGGCTGCGTAGTATAAATTAATGTCCAAAGAACTTTAATTGTCAGGAAAAAAATTTCATTTGGTGTATTTAGAACTAAGGACATAAAAAAAAATAATATTGGGGGGAGAAAGGAAAAAAAAATATAATTCTTTTTGTTGTGGCTGGTTTGAGTATAATAAGACTCTTTGAGGAGTTTTTTACTTAAAATGCACTTTTAATGTTTCTCCCTTGCTGCTAGGCTTTGCAAGGTCTCCACCTGATATATTGGAAGTGGTAACAAACTCTTGAGATGGATTTTTGAAATCTTTAGACCTCTGACCAGGCTTGCAGTGATGACACAGAGGTAACAATAAAACCACTTGAGAGACATTTAATGGGACACTTTAAATGAAATCCCCGGGGTTGGTGATGGCAGCTGAGCGTGTTCTTGCCATTTTCCCATTTAACAAGAAGAAAAGGCCAAACAAGGAGCAATTAGTCAGAGTAAAATCAGCTTTGATGACATTTTCCCTCCTGAACTCTGGTATAAAATGATCACCTGAGGAAGAACTGAGAGGATATGTGAGGAATTTGGATGTGGAGCTGCATGTTCACACGCACAGTGCTGGGTAAAAAATGAGCAGGTAAAGCCACTGCGGGGTTCTTGGTGCACGGGATGCTCTCTGTTCATATTTTGCTTGATTTTTGGTCCAAATTTTCATTAATCTCAGCTTTTCTTTGAAGTCTATGCAGGTTAAACTTGGTTTTCATCCTGTGGATCTCCATGACATTGGTGTGCTCGGGTTTCCCAGTTGGCTCTTCCATGGTAAGTCCCATTCTCTAATTACTCCCAGATCTGTTTCATTCCTCTTAAATTACTTCTTTATTTAAATTAATTTTGTTTGCTTAGTTGCTTCTTTGCTGCTGTGTTTTTATTTTTTGTAAAATGAAAGAACTTTCTTGTATTAAAGCTATTGGTTAAATATTATTACCTAATTTTCCTGGAGCATAGCCTAATTTTTCCTGGTGTTATTAATAAAATATGCAAGCCCCTGAAATAATCATGTGAGCAACTCAGTGCATATTTAATTTGGAGTGTGGGGAGCTGAAATCCTGGATGGAAGAGAGAAAACCACAAATCTCCTCTCCATTTAATCTGAATTCCTTACATATCTCAAAGAGGTACAATTAGATATATATGTATTAATTTCACTTATTGCTAGTGAGTTTATCAATTAATTAACTTATTTATGATCAACTGATTTATTTAGACACAGCTGGATCTGAGTAGTAGCCCATTTCCTAATGGATGGGCTCTCTTTATGGCAATGATAGCATGGTTAAAAGGACTTTAATTGCTTCAATAAATGTCAAAATAAAAGTTATTTGTTCAGGAAATCAAGTGAAAGAGCAGCTAAAAATTCATGAATTTCTCTGTGTCCATTTTTTTTTTGGTTTTTATAGGTTTTTTTTTTTCTTGCAAAAAGTGTTTTTTCTTGTTAGAGAGAAAATTCAGTCTGGGAAATGCCTTGTCAGTGGCAGAAGGTGTTGGTTGCAGAGTAAGTCATTCAACAAACAAAAAAATTAACTTAATAACCAGTATTAAAGAAGAGCAATGAAACGCAGAATTAAAACAAATCATAATGAAGTTAATGGCAATTTTACCAGCAATTCCAGGTGTTAATCCTATGGCTTTGCATGGAATTTTTAGAGATTACAGAAGATGACTTTTAGATGGAAAATCAGCTGGGAAATCAGGATATGATGAAAGATGCACAGAGCAACCACAGACATGCCAGGAAATGGTTTTGTTTTATAATTCAGCAGTAATTAAATGCAGTTTATTTTAAGAGCTGTTGAAATACGTGAAAGTTTTTATGTAGTTGACATTTTTTTGTCCTACAGAGGGCAAGTAAAAGGAATGTGTGCAAAACCCTGGATTTTTGTCCAAGCCTGGATTTTTATGCAGACTTTTTAAAATTCCCATTACTATTTTGTCATTATTAAACTTACTCAGAACTCCTTCCAGAATTGGTCATAACTACTGGAAAGCATCCTCCAAATTTGAGCTTTACAGGTATTTTTGTTTTCTCTTACCTGTAATTTAAGCCTCAGAAGTTCACACAGGTTATACAAAGCTGGTATTTCATTCCCTAAAAAAAAAAAATCTCATTTTCCAGCAATAAACACCTGTGTTGTTCCAAGGAAACTGTGTCACAGCTGGTCAGCATCACCGAAAACAATTCATATCATACCCTAAACATAATTGTATCAGTATTTTAGACCAGAAATGCATAAAAAACTATGAAAAAAAATCTGATTTTGAGCATGATAAATCCTTAGAAGATAACAGGTCATCCCTGTCTTTCAAAGCATAAATTGCTTTTGTGTTTCTTCTTTGCTCTGTATCCTGGCAAATACACAAATCCATAATTTTACTTTCTCTTATCTCTTTCTTTTTTTTTTTTTTTTCTCCTTGTTTGTTTGTTTGTTTGCCTTTAATCTCCAGAGCACCAACCCTTTTTATTTGACCTGCCAGCTGTATGGGCAATGGGATTCGTGCCTGGTGCTGCTGAGCAGCTGCCTCTCCAAGGTGGGCAGGGGTGAGGAGCTGCCCCTTGGGAAGCCTCTCCTGGAGTCCCTTCTCCACAAAAGGTCCTTCCGCAACGGCGTCGGAGCGGGAATTAAAAAAACTTCCTTCCGAAGGGCAAAGTCCTGAGCAAATGTCCCAAAGCCCGGCCCAGGTTTTGACGTTTGATGTCAAAAGTTCTTGCTTTGAGTTCCTTTTGATGCTTTTCTCTGACGAAGCCGCCTCTGACGGAGTCCCCAGGCCTCGCTTTCCGAGCGGAGCAGACGGGAGCGCTCGGGAAGGGCTTTGTTCCCAAAGTTACAGTGGCGTGAAGTTTTGTCTCGAAATCAATGTTTTCATTTGCTTAATTTCCCTCCTTTGTCAGGCTGCAGGTTTTAATCAAGCTGCTCTTTGATTAATACTGAGATAATCCCGTGCTTTGAGGAGATGTGTGCGCACAGCCTGTGGGGAGGACGGAGCATTCCCAAAATCCCTCCTGCCAGGCACGAGGCATTGCTGTGCTTTCCCATCCAAAATCACATTTACCTGAAGACAACTGGTAATTTTAATACAGATTTAAAGTACACTTCATTTCAGGTTTCCAATGATATGAAAGGCCACTGGTGAAAGAATCAGGCCCTACTTGTAACTTCCACTGGCTTTTTAATATAGTTATTTAAAATGACTTTGGCAGGAAATAGTCTCTGGAGATGTCTCATCTCATATCCAGAAGAATCCTGGGAAATCACTCTAAGGCAGGGTATCAGCACTGCTCCCTGTGCCTCAGTTAATTGACTTAGGTAGGCAACACCCAGCTGATGAAATGCGCCAAATCTGGGATTTTTTTTTTTTTTAATTTCCTGTTGGAAAAAAAATAAAACAAGGAAAAAGTCATTTGATGTGAAATATGTAAATGTGGTGTGGAGGAAAGGTCACCTGATGAGTTACACACCTGTGAGTTCTACTTGTGGCCATGTCCCCTGAGTGTAACAAGCTGTGCCCTTGGCTTGAAAATGTGGCAGAGTGTCTCTGCAATGCCTTTTGCAGTCAAAGTGTGATATTAATTATAATAAATCACTCTATGGATGTTTTCTAATATTTCCCTGTTAAATGTCATAGCTCAGGAGATCGTTTTTAACGCTACAATGAGGTGGTTTGGTGTCATCACCTCTGTGATGCCCTCCCTGAGCTCATGGGGGAAAGTGAGCCCAGCATGGAGCTCTGCTGGTGGGACAGCAGGTTTTCCTGGATGATTTCTGGCTGATCCAAGGAGATCAAACACATTCCTGCCTTTGTTTGTCCAGGCTGAAAAGTTTAACACATCCTGGTTTTTAAAGCCGCTTAAACACTTGAATTCTTTTGGGGTTGTCTCAAGGTTGCTGAGTCGAGTGGGAACCATGGAATCCAGGAACGATAAAATCCTAGAAACCATGGAACCCAGGAACCATGAAATCCTAGAAACCATGGAACCCAGGAACCATGAAATCCTTGAAACCATGGAACCCAGGAACCATGAAATCCTTGGAACCATGGAACCCAGGAACCGTAAAATCCTAGAAACCATGGAATCTAGGAACCATGAAATCCTAGGAACCATGGAATCCAGGAACTATGAAATCCTAGGAACACGGAACCCAGGAACCGTGAAATCCTAGAAACCATGGAACCCAGGAACCATAAAATCCTAGGAACCATGGAATCTAGGAACCATGAAATCCTAGAAACCATGGAACCTAGGAACTAAGGTGAGGAAATCTAAGGAACCATGGAATCCTAGGAATCACGGGATCCTAGGAACCATGGAAAAGGCCTGAGGAGTGTGCTGGATTTTTATTATCCTTGGGTGCTATCAGATGGGAGCAAGCCCAGGGTGGCACCGTGGTGACGCTGCAGCCGGGCATGGCCCTGTGTCACTGCTGGCTGCTGGCATTTCAGCCATGCCTGATGTCCTGCAAATTATCCATCCCAAACACTGTCCAGGTCTCTCCAGGACTCCCCAGGGAGCAGAACTTCACTGCTGTTGGCCATGGAAAAGGGAAGGGCTGGGAATGATTCCTGGTGACAGAAGCAGAAAACAAGTCCTGAGTGCATGGGTCTTCCAGAGCAGCTGTGGCTGCCCCTGGATCCCTGGCAGTGCCCAAGGCCAGGCTGGACACTGGGGCTGGGAGCACCTGGGACAGGGGAAGGTGTCCCTGCCATGGCAGGGGGTGGAAGGGGATGAGCTTTAAGGTCCCTTCAGTCCAAACCAGTCTGTGATCCCATGATTCCATAACTCCATGAATCCATTCTGCATCTGCTCACAGCTGTGGGGATGGAGGTTCTTTGTCCCAGGGCAGGGCTCTGTCCTGCTCATATCCTCACCCAAACTACCTTTCAAGAAAGCAAAAAACCCAGACAAATTCAGATTTGCCTTTGTTTGGTTTTTGAGATCAGTTTTTGTTAACATTTTCCTACATAATCAAATATGTTCCTGCCTTGGTAACCTGGGATGAGCAAGGTTGTCTTTAAGCCAACAGAACTCTGCGTGGAGCTTGGAAAATCAGGCTCTTCCCTTTCATTTATTGTGCAGGAATGAGAGTAACTCATTTAGAGTTTTGGCATTTGTCTTTGGCAGGGCATGTCCCAGAGGGCTGCAGTGCTGGTGTCCTGCTCCCATAAACCTTCATCCCCTTTTTTCAAAAATAAGGGATGCAAGAAACTGGCTGCTGGAAAAATCCCACTCTTTATGATTTAGCCAGTCCCTGACAGGCCACACTCCAGCTGGAGGGATCTGCATGTACAAAACAATGGGACCAGGAGGCCACCAAGAGCCATAAGTCACCTAAATCACCTAAATCCAGGGCAAGCCTGGAAAATGTGGATTGTCCAGCTGCCTTTCAGAGTTCTGTCACTGGAGGGCTGATGTGGCCAGCTCAGCCCACAGAAAACTTACCCTGCACTGCTGAATTCAACCCTGAACTTTAAAGGTGGCTTTGTTTTGGAGAGAACAGAGTGACCTCAGTGATCTCTGTCAGGAAATAAGGATCTGAGGGGGCCATTGCCAGGCACATTAATTTTTATGCTGACAGGAACTGGAAATATAGCAGAAAATGTCTTTTTTTTCAGTAAAAAGTGAACATGGGAACAACTATAGGGGTGCCAACCTGCACTGCAATTAATGTGTTGTCATTAATTTTATTTGTTGCTGGAGAACAGGGATTCATGATGCTGTGAGAAGATAATTTGTGAATTTCTTTAACATTTTTCTTGGCTAACATAACAGAAAGAGTACAGATAAAGGGTTCAGATGGTGGGAAGAGTGATGCTTTTTGTGGGGATTGAGGAGCAAGTTGGGAATGCTTTGGCCAGTCTTGGCTGAGTAATTCAGTCTGGGACTTTAGAAAAATAATTTCTACTCAATTTCCCCATCTGAAAAATAAGGAACTGCCTTCATTGAGCCATCTTGACTAAGCAGTGTCATGACTGATGGATTTGGGAAGAGTTTTGGGACAGAAAAGGGTGATTTCAATAGCTGGAAAGGCTGAGGGACAGGACATGAAGAATTCTTGAATCCGTAAGGATTTTTTTCCTTACTTTGCTCTAACTTGTGTCTACCTCTGGAAGCTTTAGACATAAATTTCCAGTTTTGATTCCTGGTTTTTGGGCTGTGAGAACCATCCCTGAGCTCAACAATCACTGTTTGGAGCAGCCAAACTCGATTTAGCCAGTTTTGATTCTAGCTCAAACCAGAAACCAGATTTCCCTAGATTTACTGAGTAAATTACTTTTATTTTGACATTTATTGAAGCAATTAAAGTCCTTTTAACCATGCTATCATTGCCATAAAGAGAATACATCCATTAGGAAATGTGGCTACTCAGATCCAGCTGTGCCTAAATAAATCAATTGATAATAAATAAGTTAATGAATTTATAAACTAACCTGTGCTGGGCCCTGGAGCTGGGCTGATGCTACCCTGAGATTGTGGGAGCTGTATCCCCATCCCATCCCATCCCATCCCCACCCCTGGAATGGCACCTTCCAAGGAGCAGGACGTGGCACCTCCTGCTCCTCTGCTCCCCAAAAACCATCTCTGCCTCTGAAGGTCTGAGGCTCCCACTGGTGAACCTGAAGGGAACAAATCCCATAAAACACCACCAACAAAGTCTGCCCAAGGACAAGAAGAGGAATTAACACTTTTCTTCTTCTTCACAGATTATTGGCAAGGAAGGCAATTAAATAGCCTGATGTAATAGCACCTAATTAACGTGCAAGCCTGAAAATTCCTTGTTGTAATGACATCCCAATACTCGGGTTTCTGATTGCCCAGCACATACTAAAGTATGGATATCACATTTAGGCTTCCTAATTTGCTATTATTTGCCTGTATGTGCAAATTTATTCCCTGAAAATACCAAGAGGAAGAAAGGGAGAAGTCTCTTGCTGCTTTTAACTCTGGATATAATTTTGACCTTAAGAAAGAACAAGACAGATATGAGAGAGTATATTAGATGTTATTATTGCCATAATAAAAGAGAGATAAAAATCATTGTGCAGAAAGGCTCTAAGACAACTATTAACCATTTGTCATATAAAGAAAATCAAAATTTAACTTATCAGAGAGTCTGGCACTTTAAAGATTCATCATGGAAAAATTACTTGAAACCATGGAGCATTTATGCAGAATGTCATTGATGAGCTGTCTGCTTAAATGTTGAAAGAGTTTGGGGAAAGATTGAAAAAATGTCAAAGATATGCCTTGTATCAGTCTCACCATATTTAAATTTATTTTTGGGAGTGAAGCAGCATGGCAGGAATTTTTCTTTAATGAAACAAGCTGGAATTCACTGTCCTACCCCAATGGGCCATGGCTGGTGAGAACAACAGAGGTGAGGATGGACCTTGGTGACTGAAAAAGTAACACAGCTGAATATCTAACATCTCTCTGGGGCTGGGGTACACAGCAATTTTTGGGGTTAGGGCAATTTTTCTGTCTTTGTGGAAATAGGCAGACTTTTCTTCTAATTCCTTCCCAGATTTAAAGTCACTGTGTTGATGATGCTGGAAAAGAAAGAGATCTTAAAAGCTTGGTCTGCTGAGACCCATCTTGTCAACTTCTTTGGTGTGAACCTTCCAGAGCACACGTAAGGGCTCATTATTATTGTCACTGC